CTGCTTGTAGGACACAAAAGGACATCGCGGCCGCTTCCTACTCGGCTTCCTCCAGCTGACAGCGGGGGCGGGGCCGGCCGTGCGCATGCAAAACAGGGGGCGGGGCCCGGCGCCCTATGCTAATCAGACAAGTGAGGCGGGCAGCGCCTGCGTACCGGGAGGGGTCGGGGGCGGAGCTGGAGGAGCCAGTAGGCGGGCCCACAGAGGTCTCGCCCCACCACCGAACCTCAGCGGCGCACATGCCTACGCGGCGGCCTAGAGGGCGGGGCCAGAGATGCGGAGGAACTCCAGGGATTAGAGCCCGGTGGGGATGGGCCTGGAGCGCCCTTTCGTAACGAAGGAGGCGGGGCGCGCTTTGCGCGGAAGGAGTGGGCGAGGTTGATCAGTGGCCGCAGCTGCCGTGGGAGACGAAATCCTTATGAAAATGAGAAGGCGGGACGAACGGAGAGGTTGGGGTATCTGCATATGCATGAGGGGTGGAACCTAGAACAGCGACGGGGGCGCTGCCCCTTTTTCTTTTTCCCCTTCCCCCAAGATAACGCCCGCTGGGCACTTGAGCCGCAGACTCAATATCCCCATAAAGCTGCGGAACCCAGGGTGGGAGAAGCTGACCTTAAACATGCAAGTATCCCTGGACTACGAATCCCTGGAAGGCAGGGCCGTTAAGACCCGGACAGAGAAAACTCAAGGTCACTGCGGTGACCGAATGAAGGTCACGGGGAAGGGCGGGGCCACGTGCGTCCGCCTCACGCGGGAAGCCACGCACTGACTCACAAAGCACGTATAGACTCTTTTAATTTCTCTAGGGCTAAAATTCCACTTGGGTCTGGGGACAGGACAGGGCAGGGCAAGGGTTAGAGTCAGGCGGCTGCTGGAGTCGGGAGTTCACTGAAAAGTGCAGTACAGCCTCTTATTCCTGCGCCTCCTGAGCCCCTCGACGTATCGCTGCAGCTCTTTAGTCATGAAATGGTCCCTGCCGATCACGGACCGGTAGCCTTGGAGGAGGGCAGAACTGGCTCAGTTCTATGAGCTCCAGCAAGGCCCCCCCACTAGCAGGCGCCTCATGTGTGATTCGAGGAACTGGGAACTTTGGATCTCCCCGGTACTGAGTGTTAAGGCTGGAGAATTAGCTGCAGGCCAGAACCAGAGAGATGGGAGCCTGCAGCTTGGTGGACACCTGGACCGCCTACTGTATTAAACTTCTTGACCCTTCTTCCAGCTGCACGTTCATATCATAAACAGGAGAAGTTTACCCAAATAATCCACTGAGTCCTCTCCCTCCTCTGGCAGGGAGCCAGAGTCACAGAAAAGCTGTCATTCTCTTGGCCAGATAGAGAAACCGCCTTGGAAAACCGGACTAGCTAAAAAGAGGGCTCCATTAAATGGAGCTCCACTAAATGGTCACTCCATGCCCTCCTCCTTGGGTATTCTTGTGTCTGGTTTCTCAACTTTTAACTTTTGAAGGGCCCTTCAAGTATTTTTGAGTGCTAAAAGGATCTGCCAGCGCATACACATCCTGGAACCCCACTCCCACAGACCTAAACCCTGTAAAATCCACCAGGATCTTGTGTGTGTGTGTGTGTGTGTGTGTGTGTGTGTGTGTGTGTGTCTGGAAGTCGTCAGGGGAGGGGAGCTCACTCTTGAGGGCTTTGGTGAGGATTTCCAGAGCTTCATTCTCCATGAGTTCCATCAGGGGCAGCGGAAGCTGGAAAAGCAGTGATAGGCTCAGGCATTCTGAGGACCCCAGTTCTGCCCACAGCTGAAATGCCCCTCATCCCTGCAGCCCCAAGACCCCTGACCAATCTGCCAGCCACCCCCACCCTTTCACTGCTGCAGCCCTCAACTTATCCATCCTCCACCCCATAACATCCCCTACCCCTTTCCCTGGGCCCCTCCAACCCTGTTCTGTTGCTCTGCCCAGTAGGCTCGATGGGGCATGTACTTCGAAAAACTGATCACTGAAACTGAAGAAGAGCTTTCTGGGAAAAGAAAAAAGAGGGTCAATTATCCACAGACTCCTGGGTTTCCCTGGAGCAGAGATGTATGGGTAGGCATGTGGTGAGAGGAAGTGGGGTTCAAAGACCAGCTCCATGGGCTACATTAATTGGAGATAGTATGGGACAATGGTTATATCCTAGGCTTTAAGAATCCCACCCACATGGGTTTCATTCTTACTGCCCCACTCTGTGAGACTTAAAGCCAGTGACTAAACTTTCTGGGCCTCATTTTCTTCATCTGTAAAATAGTGTCATAAGAGTGGACTGCAGGAGCGGGGGTTATGGCTCAGTGGTTGAGTGCTTGCCTAGCATGTGTGAGGCATTGGGTTCCAGTCTCAGTATCACATGAAAATAAATAAAAATCAAGGTCCACAACTAAAAAAAAAAGAAGATGAAAAATAAAAGAGTGGTTTTTAGCCCAACATGGTGGCACTCACTTGTAACACCAGTGACTCAGGAGGCTGAGGCAGAAGGATAGCAAGTTTGAAGCCAGCATTGGCAATTTAGTGAGACCCTGTCTCAAAGTAAAAAAAAAAGGACTGGGAGTGTAGCTCAGTTGTACAGCACCCTGGGTTCAATCCCCAATACTGAAATAAATATATAAAGCAAGCCCCTATGGAGATCATGAAATTTAAAGGTGACAATACAAGCAAAGTCCTGTGTTTGGCACAGAGCCAGGACTCAGTATGTATTAATTCTTATGTTATATTCTTGGTTCTAATTCCATGATCAAAGTAGAAAGAGTAAAGTGCAGAGGTGAGAGGCAAATCCCAAATAGTATCTGGCATGTGCTAGATGCTTAAAATTGTAACCAATGCCCAGACAGAGTGATGCACACCTGTAATTCCAGCTATGGGAAGGCTGAGGCTCAAGGTTAGTAAGTTCGAGGCCAAACTGGGCAACTTAAGGAGATCCTGTCTCAAAATAAAAAGGGCTAAGGATGTAGTTCGGTGGTAGAGCACTAGAGTTCAATTCCTAGTGCCTTGGGGCAGGGGTGAGGGTTGGGGGTTGGAGAGGAGGTAGTGATGTATTTGGTGGCAGAGTGCTTGCCCAGAATGCTTGAAAGTCTTGGGTTGGATCCTCAGTACCAAAAAAGTTTTAAAAGATGGTACAAGTCTGACTTGGAACTTTTTGGTGCAGTCTCTAGAGCTGCGTTTGGTAAGATGCCTTCCCGGTAGGGGGCGCTCCAGGAATGTTTGGTTGATTTAAAGTCGTCCTGGCGCCCCTCCCAGGCAATCCTGGAAAGTTGGATCCTCTCAGCTTACCCCCACCCCCGTTTCATAGCAAGGGAAATTGGGGCCTTGGCCAGTTCCTGCCCTGGGGGCACCCACAACCTGGCGAGGCCACACTGACCTAACTCGGAATTGGTATTCTCATCCACACGGTTTTGCTGGGAGCTGCCGGAGCTCAATTCCGTATTCTCTGTCTTGAAGCTGACCTTGTCCCTCAGAGAAAGGGACTCCCCATCGTCCTTCCAGCGGCCCTTCAAGCTGGCCCGCCGGCGAGTTTTGTCGCCCGGGACTGTGACCTCCTCGTAGTATTTGTTGCAGACCTGGGACAGCGGCACGTTCATTTGTGACTCGGACAGCGAGGCCATGGTCCACAAATTGCGAATGTCGGGGTGAGGGCTCAGCTTCTCGGAGCCGCGACGTTGTGAAGACTTGGACGACGCCTGGGGGCCACACACAACGAGGGAGGCCAAGGGTGGCGGGGAGCCGGGCGGGGAGGGAGGGCAGGCTGGGGCGGGGACATTGAGTGGACCCGGTTGGGACTCTGTGGGATCTGGGGATGGGTGGGAGCAGCTCGGAGCCTGGGCTGAGAGTGACACCAGGGGCCTGGATGGGACCTAGGGTGAAGTTGGGGGGGCTGACGGGTAGGGGTCCGGGAAGAGTTCTTACTTTTAAAGGCCTTTCCTCCATGGTTCAGCCCTAACGGACACTGTGGCCACAGGCCTCAGGGCGGGGAGGAGGGGGTCACGCTCCAGGAGGGGGGAGGGGCAGCGTGTCCTTCCGGAATAGCGGGTTTCGTGCCGGAGACTTCAGACCACAGCCCTCCACACCAGATGCCCCACCGCTCTCCCATCCCTCCCCACCCACCCCTCTTCCAGGTGCTGAGGTTGGAGACTCCAGCTGGTCTCGGAGGGTTCCCACGCCGGACCCTACCCGGTCTCCTCCAGGAAGGACTGGAGCCTAAGTGCAACCCAATTTGTCCGAAGTGATGGCCCGGGATCCTCAGCCCGGGGCCACGGGAGGGCAGACGTGCCCCACGGTGGCCGGAGGAAAGCACTGCCACACCCACCCGCATGCCCGAGCGCACGCCCGCGGCGGTGCAGACTGATGTTTATTGATGCAGGCTTTGAGGCACAGTCGTGAGGTGTTGTGAGGGACAGGCCCGGCCAGAGCAGCGAGACAGAAAAGGCTTGGGGGTCTGGAAATGGATGGAGGTGAGGAAGGGGCCAGGGCGAGAGGTCGCTGGCAACCGGTAGCCTCCTCCCAGGCTTCAGTCCCATTGAAAGAGGGCTCTTTGGTCAAACAAGCCAAGCATGCCGGGGACACAGCAGGAACAAAGTCCTTTGAGAGGCCAGGGATCCTGCCCCTATACTGGCACGGCTTTGTCTCGGGGACGTCCGGGCCCCCGGGGTCGCGCTGGCTTCCTGGGTGGGTTGGGGCGGCGACGACCCCGCGGCGCTCGAGGAAGCGCGCAGCCGCGCTCGCTCTGCGTGTCCGAGGACTCGTCGATGAAGGCCAGATTCTCGCTGGGGTAGTCCAGGGCGGAGGCTGTCGGCGGGGAAGGCGTATGGACCTTCTCCGGGGGTGAAGGGGATTGAGGTTTGAGGACTGGCTGCACTGGACAGGGCGGTGGGGGCAGGAGTGGCGGCTCCTTCTCTTGCAGTGGTGCAGTGGGCCCGGCTCGCTGGGTCACCCGCGCAGTCACTGTGCCAGTCCAGCTGGCAGCCTGCGCCGTGAGGCCACCCATCTGCGCGGGGAGGAAAAGTAATCCTCGACCAGGGGTCCTTGACCTGCTCTACAACCCCAGGAGCCTGTCCCTTCTCCAACCAGCCATCAGGATTCCTTTTGCCCGGTCCTCCAGACTCAGCAAGTGGAGATCGGGCTCCTCGCCTAGGCTTCATGCTCTCCCCTCTGGCACAGCCCCGAATCACCTTTTAGAAAACCCCATGTTTATTTCAGAATCCCCTCCAGTACTGGGAGAGCTTTGCACCACTGTCCTGCTGGTTGCTCTCAGTAGGGTTGCAAAACACAAGTTAAATGTGTGTGTGTATGTGTGTGTGTGTTCAGTTGTAGATGGACACAATACCTTTATTTATTTATCTTTATGTGGTGCTGAGGATCGAATCCAGTGCCTCACAGAAGCTAGGCAAGTGCTCTACCCCTGAGTCACAACCCCAGCCCCTTAAATGTATGTTTTAGATAAATAGCAAATAAATTTTTAGAATAGTATATCTCTTGCAATTTTTTAGACATATAGTAAAATTTTGTTACTGAACAAATGCCAAGTCCTCACATGTGCTAGGGAAGTGCTCTACCACTGAGGTACTCCCCAGCCTTTCTTATTTCATTTTGGGACAAGGTCTTGGCTAAATCGTCCAGGCTAGTTTCCAACTTGCCGTCCTCCTGCCTCAGCCTTCTCAATAGCCTCCTTAAAACCCATGACTTTCTCCATGTTTATTTGCAGAAATCTGCCAACCCTTTCCATGAGGGCAGAGAGCTAGTAAACTCAAATCTGAGTTTACCGCTCTGCTTCCAGCAGGACACATATGGGGTCTCAGTCTGTGCCTGAAAGACCTAGTGTGAAGAAACCACACTCTAGAAGGGAGAGAGACTGGCCAACGAGCTACTGGAGTGCAATGCACACTAGTACTACACCAACCCAAGAGCTCGTACCTCTGCCCGAGTGCGGCGGGACACCACTCGCAACCAGTTTCCGATGGTGGTGAGCACCGAGGCAAAGTAGGCCAGGCCGAGCAAGATCCAGAACCACACCAGCGGCTGGTAGGCTGGAGAGTCCTGTCTGGGGTCAGCGCCTGGAACAGCCCCAGGGAAGAAGGAAAGAAGTTGATTTGGGGGCAAGCCTGTGAGCCCAGGTTCACTGCTGGGCTTCAATGCCTGGGTTCGAAGCTCCTTGAGAGAGCACGCCCTCCTAGGAGAAAGGGGATCTGCTATAGTGTGTGACTGTGTGCAAGAAGATCAGCGTGTACAAGCTGAAGGCATGCAAGGTAACAGCATGCAAGCAGGGCTGATCTCATGCAACAACATGATGTGGGCGAGGTGCACTATTTGTATGTGTGAGGATACATGGGACTCACACATGCAGGGATGTCAATGTGCATGTTAATGTATCGCATGAGTGGAAGACTGTGATGGTGCATTCCTGATGGATTTAGGAGTAGTGCCTCCTGGAATTCAGAGAGGGGAGAGTGCAGAGCTCTTTGACAAGAAGAAAGTGGATAGGGAAAGGCAGCCTCGGGCTGGGGTTGTGGCTCAGCGGTAGTGCGCTTGCCTAGCATGCGTGAGGCACTGAGTTCGATTCTCAGCACCACATACAAATAAATAAAATAAAGGTCCATCAACAAATAAAAACTATTAAAAAAAAAAAAAGAAAAAGAAAAGCAGCCTCACCGGCCACATAATCACCGAAGCCCACGGTGGTGAGTGTCACTATGACAAAGTAGATGGCCTCCAGCTTGCTCCAGTCCTCCATATAGCAGAACACGAATGTGGGCGTGAGGACAAAGAGCAGGCAGCCGATCAGCAGGAAGAGCATCGCAGAGAGCACTCGCACCAGCTCTGGTGGCACATGCCACTTCTGCAGGGAGGGGCGGTAGGCAGGACCACAGAGACACCAACAACCTCTACGCCCATCCCCCCGCCCCAGCCCCAGGAGCTTGTGCCATCTGAGGGTGTGTGCTCCCGGGCAGGTACCTAAGGAAGGAAATCCCAGCTCAGCATGAGGGTAGGAAGGATGTGGAGTAGCTCACCAGGAAGATTGCTTCGATGTGACCAATGCCGTGGCGCAAGGAGGAGCCCAGTCGATCCCCGACCCCTGCCAGCAAGATCCCAAACAGTGGGATCCCTACCAGCGCATAGAAGATGCAGAAGAGGCGCCCAGCATCTGTGCGCAGGGCTGCATTGCCGTAGCCTGGGCAGAGAGATGGTGCAAGGAGTCTAGGCGCTGTCGGCGGCACCCTCTGCCTCTCCTTGCATCTTCCTCCATAAGGAAATTCCTTGCCCCTGCCCCTGCCCCCCTCCACATGCTGCATCTCCTCCCCCACCGATGGTGGTGATGATGGTCCCCGAGAAAAAGAAGGCGCTGCCCAGGTTCCATGCTGAGTGGCTGCTGTTACTGGTCGAGTTGGTGTCTGGGTCTGCACCCCCTCCCAGGGTTTTAGCCACATCCTGCAGGACAAGGCACAGAAGGAGGAACCTCAGTCCTTCCTTCCTATCTGGACCAATTCCCTGCACCATCAGCCTCTAGGGTGGTATCCCCCACCACGCCTCTCCCCTTCCCTCTCATCTCCTTGAATATGGTCCCTTGCAGCCAAGGATGCAAATTGGGTAGCTAATCCACCTGCAGGCAAGTCTGTGGGACCTCCACAAAGTTTCAGGAACATTCGAGTCACCAGACCCCTAGTTTCACACAATAGATTGCTAATTTTACAGTCAGGAATAGAAACCCTGGGACCAGACTCCCTGGGTTCAAATCTTGGTGCTGTGCAACCTTGGGCAAGTTGACCCTCTGTGCCTCCATTTCTGCATCTATCAACTGGTGATGATTACAGTACCAACCTTACAGATTTGTCCCCAAGAGTTAAAGCACTTAGAACAGAGTAAGCCTGGTGTATTTGTTGGATAACTTCCCACGTGGCAATCTCATCCTGTGATTTCCAGATTTCCACAGACCCCACCACTCCCACTGCCCCTGTGGAGACTCAGTTTGAGTCCCTTGGCTTAGATAATTAAAGTTAGGGACTTTCCCTCCAAAAATGTTCTTATATTGGCAAATTTTGCTTCCAATATTAGGATGTTCACACATGCACAACACACTGAAGTTATATACTAGGTGCTCAATAAACATTAGAGAATGAATGAAGTGTCCATTTGTCTGCCCCTCTTGCTAGCCTGCAGATTCGCTGGACAGGGTCTGTGTTCTGAGAGTGCTTGCCCTAGATGATGGGAGGTCAGAGCATAAGGAGATAGCTATGCAGAGGGACCTTCCCCAAGGAGCACAAGGGCAGTGTCTGGCATATGCCATCTCTTTTCTCCCTGACTACAGTTCTCATTAGCAAGACCCCTTCCAAATTCATCTTACTAAAGTAACAGCTTCTGTTAGAATAGAGCCTAGACTCTCCAGATCAGCACACAAACCCCTTTTCAAGCTGGTCCCAACCACCCTCTTTCCCCAGTCTTCTCTCCTGGGACTCTGATTTGTCACCCCACGTTACAGCAGCCTTCCCCCCAGATTCTCTAAGATTATTCCATTTCCTTTAATGATGATTTTAAAATAAAAGCAAGAGGTGAAATGCTAATTAAAAGTGATTTAACTTTTATTTTGCAACACTTTTCCAATAAATTAACCACTTAGGGGGAAAAAGTCCTTCGTCATTCTGTGTTCTAATTTCTACTTCAAATGACTAGGCATCTGCTAACTTCAGGTTCTGCAAAACACTCCAGAGCTTTCCAGCTTCCACGCCCTTGCCCATGCTGTTCAGCTGCGAGTGATTTGTCCCCAGTCCCTAAACTCTATCCCTCTCACCTGGCTCTGTTCATGTGCCAACTATCCCCAAGGCCCCTGAATCTCTCTTCTCACCCCCTTGCACCCAGCCCAGAATGAGTGCTTAAAAAAGGAGAGGAAGCTCCATTTCCATGCACTGTACAGTGACCGGTCTGTCCTTGGACCTCTCTCCTCACCTAGATGTGGCCTTTTCTAAGGCAGAGTCTGCATATGCTCCAGCCCCAGATCCACTCTCCTGCCCAACACAACCCATGCTAGCACACAGTAGGTGTCCAATTGCTGCACAACTGACTAATTCAGAGAGTTAACTCTTATGGTGGAAAAGAAGTAAAGCAGTTGCCACCACCCTCCCTTCTAGGTCCTGCCTCTCCTTTTCTTCTTTCTTATCCAGGAAAAAAGCAGTTCCATTGTGCAAATAAAATAGGTCAGATTCCCTCCCTCCCTCTGCCCTGTGGTCTGGCCAGACACAGGCTCTGCCGCCCAGGCCTCTCAGCCTTGTCCTGCTTTCTGGAAGTGTCAAAGGCATGTCAGGCCACCTGGGTCCTGGCTGGCCCCTCCCCACCTCATCTCTACCCTGGTTCCTGCCACTTTGGGAATGTGCTGGAATGCTGAGGCTCCCCAACAGAAGCCCCTCCCTCAACAAAGAACCGGCAGGGAACAGGGGTGCTCATCAGTAAAGTAATAATTATTAATTTATTAAAGTTAAATCATAGATTCTCATATGACAGTGACTCAGAAATCAGAGAAAGGAGAGGAGCTCCTCAACTGAACCCAGAAAGCTGAAGCTCAGAGCTTTCCTTAATGATGGAGGTTGACCAAAAGTGCCTCAGGGAAGCTGAGCTCTGGCCCTACCCACTTGTCTGCTATGGTAAGCCTGTGTCTTGGGGGAAGGGGTCCCTAACCCCTCTCCCCAGTGCCAGAACAGGAATACTCCAGAATCATCTGTGTATGCTTCCATGCACACTTGGGGGATGGAGAGAAGTGTTCACAGTGTTCTTGGGCTTCTCTAAGGCATCTGTGACTCCAAAAATGTATAGAAGCCAGTGGAGGAGGGTTGCCAGCTTTAGGAAGTAAAAATATTACATGGGACCTACTTATATTAAAATGGCATTGGTTGTTTAGCTGAAATTCACGTGGAACTGGGCCTGTTGGATTTTAACTGGCAACCTAATGAGATGAATTGACCAGAGCAAAAGTAACATCCCATGTGCTCCAGGCATTTATTCATTCATTTTTCCTTCATTCAATTACCATGTCAAGAAGACATTCCAGGAGCACAGCAAGGTGCCAGGCACCGCCAGCAAAACAAAGGACCCAGTGGCCGCCATATTGAAAACCGAGATCAGGATCCCAGTCTCTGCCAAGCACCCCCCACCCCACCTGTACCCAGTCTTTAGGGTACGCATCTGGAAGCAGCACCCCAGCACAGGGACCTAGTGGGGGTCTGCTGAAGGGACCCTGGCCCCCCACGCACCTTGATGAAGTCCCCCAGCTCCCGCTCATTCACACATGGATGGGCCCTCAGGAACTTCTCTCGGACCTCCCCCAGGTCCCTCTGGGCCTGCTGCTCGTGCGGCTGCTCCAGGGCCCGGAACACCAGGGCACCCGACACCAAGTAGAGCAGGACCAACGCCAGCAGTGCCAGTAGTGTGGTGCTGCGCATGGCACGCCCAGGGGCAGTGCCAGCTCCACTGCCCGCCTGGGGAGGTGGGGCAGAGGGCTCCTGGGGAGCGGCGGTCACTGCGGGCAGAACCAGGGATGCCAGGGTCAATAAATTGGCCTGATAACCCACACCCTCCTTCTTGATCCTCTACATACCCAAGGTCCTCAAAACCTCCAGCTTTTCTATACATGGCTGTACCCCTCAAATCCGACTAGTAGGAAGGAACACCCAGCCCTCCCACCTCCACCCTCCCTCTTACCTCCACTGCCTGGCCCTCAGCCCCTGTCCAGGGGCTCCAGGGTGTGAGAAAAGGAGGGCATCAGGAAGGGAGAAGGTAGGAGAGACAGCCTGCCTCGAGAGAGGATGGGTGATGAGGAATGCTGAAGGCCTGGGGCGGGGGCGTAGGGAACCGGCTTTCCCAGGAAGGCAGAGGGGGAGGCGAGGCTGGGTGCGCAGGGCGGGGACAGGATGGTCCAAGCTCGGCTCGCCCGCTGTGGCTGCGGCAGCATCTTCGCGGCGCCTCCCTCTCTTCCCGCCTCTCTTGGCTCCCAGGGTAGCTGCGACGGGCCAGGCAGGGAGCCTCTAGGGTCCCCTCCAGCACCCCTCCAGACTTTCGAGGAACCCAGGGGCGGGTCCCGGCCGCAGCGCAGTGGAGAGGCTGAGAGCCAAGAGAGGGAGGGTTCCTGGAAGGGACCAGGCGCGGGGCGGGAAGGGCCTGACCGATGCAGCAGCCCCCGGACAGCTGACAGCTCCCGGGACAGCAGGAGGCGGCGCCCACACACACGCACACACTCGCCCTGACATGCTCCACCACACGCGGGCACAAAGACCCGCGCGCCCACGCTTCACCCTGCGGCTCCAGCCCGCCGCACTGCCCAGGCTGCACGCGGTACTCCGCGGGTACACTCCCGTCGCCCCTGGGCACACTGGACTCCCATGGGAGAGCTCGCTGTGCCTCGGTACCCCAGAAGGTCCACGCACACGTGCGCACACACACCGACCAGGGCCACCGCGCAGCGCTCTCCACCCCACACGCTGCACACCCGCAGCTTGCTCCCACCGCCTCCCCCGCGTCCTCCCGCCGATGCCTCGGAGCGTGACGGGCGGCGCGACACGCGGAAGCACCCCTCCTGGAGGTGTCCACCCGCCGGAGGTGGGCGTCCAGCGGGCCTGTCACGCGCCCCCTCCGGGCACCGATCCCCAGGAGTCCTCCCTGCATCCCTGCTCCTGCCCCGCACTTACTGTCGGCCCTGCTGCGGCTGCAGCCGGGGCTCCCGTGCCGCCTCGCCGGTGCCGGCTGGGCCGCGGAGGCGGCGGCGGCAGCAGGGGCGGAGCGGGCGGCCGCCCGGGCTGGGACCCCCTCCCTCCCCGCCTGAAGCCCCCTCCTCCCGCTTTTAACCCCTCCAGCGCCGCTCCTCTCTTCAGTGCCGCGCCCTAGCCACCGGCGCTCCCCGCCACCACTCTCGCACTAAGCCCTGTACCTGCGGCCGCCTGGCTCCCAGATCTTCGCTAGCCGGCGACAGTGGATGGCAGAAAAGCCTGAGAAGGGTCGCTCTGGGTCCAACCCTCTAATCTCAGACAAGAGCCCAGTGTGGTCAGTGGCCGCCCTGGCCTGGGCATCAGTTGGCCCACAGGAACCACGCTAATCTCCTGGCATTCTCCAAGCCCATTACAGGATTGGGAAGGGCCCTGGTCTATATCTCTGGGGACAGCCTGTCCCTTGAGCTCAGTGGATTTGGCCATGAGGCCACCTGAATTTGGCCAATGATGGGGGTTGGGCCCCAGCTGGGAAGTCACTGGAGTGGGCATTCTCCTACTCCTCTTCTCCTTTCCCCAGCCCTTGGTTTCCAAGGCCATGCCCAGGAGTCAGCCCCAGGGGCCTAAGCTGCAGGTGCCAGTATTATCTTCCATCTGTCTGAACAGCCAAGGCCCCGGGGGTCTTGAACCTTCCCTCACCCTGCTCTCACCCACTTCTTTACAACCTCTGGGCTCACCCAAGACCCTCCTCTTGCCTCCTGGGGTCCTCTGCCCTCATGGTGGGTGATTTTAGACCTGGGCTTTAAGGCCCACTGCCCCCTACTGGTAGGGCCTTGGATAGGTTAGCAAGCTCTCTGGAGTGTCCCTGTTCACACTTTCAGAAAAAGGAAAATTAATTATCACTTCAGGTGCTGTTCAGGGCATTGGAGAGGTCAGCGTTTATAAATGCTCAAAACAGAGCCTGGCCGCCCAATCAAGTGTCCTAGAAATGTCAGCAACTTTTCTTTCAATGCAAAGTGATTGTCCAACTTCCATCTAATTCTCTGGTTCTCAGAGGAGCTCTGCAGGGGCCTGCAGCCTGGCCCCCAGAACAACCCTAAGCACAAGGTTTCCAGGCAAGCTAGTGCTAGACCCTGGGGATTCTCAGGAGCTGGAACCCTCAAGAATCAGACCTCTAATAACTCCCAGCTACCAGATAGATCTGCCAGGGAGGCAGGAACAGAGCAGGGATTATGCTGTTAGGGCAGCCAGAGAAGGGGATCCTCCAGGCAGCCCACCCATGTGGGCAAACCCACACCTCATTGGGAGCCAGATACTGTTCTATCCCACATCAACACCTCCTCTGTCAGTCCTCGTTGAGCCCTGGCACCTGAAGGCTAGGTTAGGAGTGATGAGAGAGAAACCAACCAGGCCTCCACAAACCCCATCACTTTGATGCACCAGTCACATAACCACAGTGCACTGGGGCTCAGGAGAAGGGCTTTAGTTCCTGACCAAAAATTGGAAGGCTTCAGCTTCATAAAATATGCGATTTGGGGGAGGGCAGTGCAGGGGACTGAACCCAGGGTCTTGTGCATGCTAGGCCAGTGCTCTTCCACTGAACTACAGCCCCAGCCCCAGGGAGATGTTGTGGGCTGGGCATGGTGGCTAGTCTCAGCTACCTGCAATGAGGCTGAGGCCAGAGAATTGCTTGAGTCCAGGAGTTCAGAGCCAGCCTGGACAATACAGTGAGAGCCCATTTTTAAAAAGGAAAAAAAAGTAAGACATGCCTGTAATCCCAGCTACCTAGAAGGCTGAGGCAGGAGGATCACAAGTTCAAGGCTAGACTGGGCAACTTAACAAAACCCAATCTCAAAATAAAATAAAAGGGGATGGAGATGTAGTTCAGTGGTAGAGCACCCCTGGGTTCAATTCTCAGAACCACGGGGGTGGGGGAATCTTGAGGAAGATATTACAAAAGAGAAGAAATTGTTAGGAATGGGAGGAACCCACCCCAGAAGAGCTTCTAGAACCAAAGCATGTGCAGCCTCCCCTTGATGGCTGCAGATCCCTCCCTCTCTGTGCCCTCCAGCCTTGGTGACGTGAATAGCCCTGTCTAGCCCAGCAGCCCACTTTAAGGGCCAGAGTCGGATCAGCTTGTGACTACACAGGCAAAGGTGAGAACAACCCAAAACATAGATGCAACAGGTGAACGGAAGAGGGGCACAGACACTTTATTGAGTGGCAGGCACAGGAGAGGTAGCTGGCTCCAGTGTGGAAGCGGAGGTGGCAGGTCATGCCAGGGCGCTGTAGGCATCTGGCAGCTAGGGCCGTGCCCTCCCATCCTAGGGGCAACAGCACTAGCTCACTACGACAGGAGCAGCAAGGAGCCGGCCAGAGGGGGTGGCTGTCATGGCCCCCAGGATTCTGGGCAAGAAGCGGCAGATAAACGTGGCACAGGGGCCTGGGGTGAGGGGGACTGGGGCCTGAGTGCTCTGGGGGGGAGCACAAGGGGGGTCACGTCTGTGGGGTCGAGTAGAGACTGTGGTGATGGCCGCCTGGTCCTGGCACCTGGGAGAAGAGCAGAGGAGTGGTCCTCGTCTGGCTGCCCCCACACCAGCCTGGCTCACGCCCGATGGCGCCGTACCAGCTGCCAGAGCCTAGGCTGCCCGACATGCTGCAGGCAGAGAAGCAGGGTCAGTCCCAGGGCATTGACCAGAGCCACATTCATGAGAATGGCAGGGAAGAGAGGCTCAGAATCCCTACAACCCAGCCCCCCGGGGTCCAGGGTAAACTGCATCCAGGGACGGAGGTGGAGGACTTAGCACTAGGAACCCAGAGGGGGCCTCACCTAAAAGAGATGGGGAAACAACGGCTAGGTGTGAGGTGGGGGCTGGGGGGACATGGCTCTCCAATCCTACCGCTGATGGAGCAGGCTAGAAGCCAGGAAGGACTCCTACCTGGTGCTCTCCCCCCGGCTATGCTCCCAGGAGCAGGCCTCGTCCTCACAGTGCCCAGCTCGGTCAAAGAAGTAGGAACGGGAGCCAAAGACCTGCCCATTGAGGATGCGGCTGGTGCTCTGTGGGAGGGGGGAGATGTCACTGTCGTCAGTGCTTTCTCCTATCCCCCACAGGTGTCCCCAGACTCCTGCCCAGGATTCCCAGGGTCCATTCTTTTCCACTAGCCCCATCGAGGGGAATGGAGATCCTCACCAGGTCCTGCGGGGGCCGATGCACACGGAAGAAGCCCACTAGCAGGGTGGTGGGCAGGAGCTCCCACACAAAGAGGATGAGGCCAAACACCAGGTAGCCCTTGTTCCCCAGGTCATTTACCAGATCCGCCTGTGGGAAGGCAGGAGCTTGTGCCAGTCTGCAATCCCACTCAAGTAGCACCATGACAGAGCAAGGCCAGCTTGAGAGCAGGTGCCACAGCTGGTAAACGGCCTAACACTCACCTGATCAGAAACATTGTACCAGTCGTAATCGAAGGCATCCAGCCGGCTCCGGGGCGCCAAGGCCAGGGCTGCCAGATTGTAGCAGGCCCGGCTGGCATACAGCAGGACCATGGCGCCACCCATTGCAGCCGCCTGGCACACACTGGTCCCCTGGCATGGACAACAACAGAGGATCCTCAGGGAGAGGAGGCTCCCAACTTCCTCTGTACCCTGATGACCACTGCCCAAAGATCCCCAAGGATACCTGTGCAACAGGACTTGTGGCCCTACCTTGGCCTCCAGGTAGATGCTAGTGGAAGGGGCCCGCCGGGCAACCAGGCAGAGGCAGGCAGCAAGAGAGAGGGCGCAGATGACAAAGAGGGAGTCGCTCACCAGGACGCGCACCAGCAGTAGGGCCCAGGGCTGTGCCCGGCGCCGGCGGGACAGCACTGCACACAGCACGTTCACCAACAGAAAGAGCAGCGAGGCCCCCACGAAAGCCCCTCGGACGGCCAGCCTGCAGCCCACAGCACAGTCAGCCTCAGACCATGGACTGCCCTTGGCATTCACCAACCACACTACCGCCCTCAGGAGACCCCAGTGTCTGTCAGAATTCAGATCATCCAGGCTGAAACCTGCTCTTCCAGTTTTACAGATTGGGAAACTGAGGCCCAAAGAGGTCAGAAGGTGAGGGATAGCTGTGGCATCTTGCAAAGAAACACCAGATTGGAAGTCAGAAGTCTAGATCTGAGCTCTGGCTCTGCTTCCTGCCAGCTCTGTGACCTTGAACACGCTCCTTTATCTGGCTGGGCCTCAGTTTCCTCAAGTTGCAAATAAAGATAAGATCTTCTTAGGTAAGTTGTTAAAAGAAAGATGTTTGTGAAAGTTCTTTATGATCTGGAAGACAATGTGCAGTGACAGGGGTACTGCAGCCCAAGGTCACCCAGAAGTACACCTGGGCTTTGTGATTTCCACGGGTTGGAGCCTCCAGCTCTTTCTCCATCATGGGTGACACTGGTGTCCTTTCCCCTCACAGTATACAACTGTTTCTATTACTGTCGACCCTCACGTATGCAAGCCTCTGCTGAGCCATCTGTGCCAGGTGCTTTAGCTTTTCCAAGCTCTTTCACAAACATTCCCTGCGTTGTTCTTGCCTAAGCCCTGAAAAGTAGGCTTCTCCCTGCCCCTGACCTGGGGCTGAGCCCACCAGTGCCCCAATACTTACAAGCCTCGGCTCATCTCTGGCCGACGCTTCGCCTTGGCCTTGAACACCACCTGAGAGCAGAGATGCCCATCACTCCTTTGGGCTCTTGAGACTTGCCCCCCTCATCCCCCACCCCTTACCATAATTACCTGGGCAAAGTAGAGGTTCATGAGCGTCAGTGTGAA